CCGTGGCATATTCCTTTCGGAAAGGAATGCGTGAAACCTGCCGTTCCGCCCGAAAAACTGCCTTTCCGCCCGAAAAACGGGTATTAATATCAGATCAGTTCACTCGCACAAAATCGCATCCATCAGAAATATACTGTAACTTGATCGCCAAATATGGTCAATTTTCGCTACGGTCAGATTCAACCTTAATGAATATGACCGTAGCGAAAATTTGCATATGCGGCATTCTGATTGGTTTGCTACGGTCAATCGAAGCAAACCAATCAAAATCCGGCAAATGCTACAGTTTGCTACGGTGGCCAACATTTGGCCACTGCTTCTGACCGATGTGATCTGGGACATTCCATTTAATATCTACACCCCCCTGTGGACGAAGTTTTCCGAGGGTATACGAAAATATGTGATTTCCGAAGGTTTGCTATTCACGACAACGTAAATTTTCCGAAGGTTCACAAAAAAAAAAAAAAATCCGAGGGATATGGTAACATTTGACAAAATTTTCAGGATGTAATAACTTATACGAAAACATTTCCACGGGTTGACGAAAAAATAGAAAATTTCCAAGGGGTTATTTTACTTATCAACTGTGGACTTCTTGCCCATGTATCACCTATTAATACATAAGGAGTAATTTCCTCTTATTGTTGTGCGCGGGATTGAGTCTTTTAGATACAGGATATGTTGGATAGTTATATCCAATAGGTTATATCCAATCCAGTAGCGTAGATAAATATCCATCCGGATTGTTTCAGGGTATTATTACTAAAATCACTAAACTGTCCACATCCCGCTAAGAATTTCAAACGGGGAAAGACGTTTGATAATTCCAAATTAAATTTTCGTTCAATCATGTGATCAAATTGTTTTATCATTTTGGTCACATGACTTCACGATTTTGGTCACATGAGTTCACGATTTTGTTATCAATTTATTTTTGTATATGGGTTTCTAATTTTATTATCCAATCAGGTGCGTAGTTTTGAATTAAACGTCAGAAATTCGTTACTCAACAGTCAAGTTATTCAAACGTAAACAAGGTCATAGACAAGGTCACAAACATCCAAACGAAGGTCAATGCAACAGAATATATGAAATATTCGTTTTATGTTCATTTTAAAGTTCCATAATCGTAATGAACAATCTATCTAATATATATCTTATAATATGATCTCCCTTTTAGCGAAAATATGATCTCCACTTGTAATATTGTTTCGAAGTTGACTGGGAATAATTAGCACTGTCAAATCGTGAAGTCATGTGACCAAAATGATGAAACAATTTGATCACATGATTGAACGAAAATTGAATTTGGAATTATCAAACGTCTTTCCCCGTTTGAAATTTTTAGCGGGATGTGGACAGTTTAGTGATTTTAGTAATATTCAAATAATATAAGGTTCAGGCCTTACTTAAAGGCACCGTTCAGCCTTTTGAATGATGGTTTTTAAGGTGCATTTCAGAATGCATTTCAGCCCTTTTAATTGAAAAACCTAACTAGGAAAATCAATTAAGCATAATTCAAGATCAGCAAATTTAATGTTTTTAACATTTTAAAACATTTTTATTGCTAAAAATATCGAGTTTACTGATCTTGAATTATGCATAATTGATTTTCCTATTTAGTTTTTTCAATTGACAACTTGCATGTTAGACTAAATTTTAATCTAAGTAAAGAGAAGGGAATTGAATAGAACAGTTAAAAAGAACATAATGAAATTAGTAAAATTGCAAAATGTGGTTGCGAAATCAGTTGTAAAATACAGAAAATATAGCCTTGCGAAGTTTGCATATTTTCAGTATATTTTTATTACGTGCGGAAATTGTTACCATTTTCGGCTCAAAAATGGTAACAATTTCCGCACGTAATATATACTGAAAATATGCAAACTTCGCAAGGCTATTAAAAGGGCTGAAATGCCCCTTAAAAACCATCATTCAAAAGGCTGAACGGTGCCACAGAATAAAGATCAGTAAACTGAAGGGCCACTCAGCGGTGCAAAGTGTCCGCGTTTTTTTATGCAAAAATATGCAGTTTACTGGCCAGAAGGCGGAGCAGCCAGCCAGTACAGCGTGTTTATTGGCCAGAAAATGTCATTGACTGGCTAGGAAAATGGCAACCAACATGCGCAATGCGACATGCGCGAGGACAGAAACTTCAAAGCTTCAGACGTGAGTGGCCCTTCTATATGGATCTTTATTTTATGGCTGTGCCTTTAAGGTTAAGTAATTAAAAGCGATGGTGTTTATAATACTTTGAATTGAAGTAATAGGAAAGAACTTCACGTAGTCTAACACTAGTAAACTTGCATCATTGGTAGGAAAAGCCTCACTTGTATTAAGTCAAATCCACACTTTATAAACAAGCATAAAAAATCTTAAATACTGTAAACATTCCTGTGATCAATCATCGAAGTAAAAATATTATAAAAACCCCTACTTTTTCAACCTAATATTGACAAATAATGTTCTAATCTGTAACAAAGGCCTGAACTTTATATATATATAATATATCCAGTATTGTGTGACCAGGTGCCAGACAATAAAATTAAATCAAATCTCGATATCCTGCCAAATATGATATCCATTGCATCCCTAGTTATTTGTTGTTTCAGCCAAACAACTTTACTTGTTAAGAAGAGAGTGTTGGATATACGTATACGGGATGACTGTATATATTGATATTAAATATACTTAGTTAATATGCAGGGTGTATAAAAAAACCGCAACCTCGGAAATTTCCAAGAAATCGTCATTGTCTTAAGGACAAGACATTTTAGGACAAAACATTTTATCTATTACTGATTAGCAATTCGATTTTAATTCCCAGGGGCCTAAAATCTTTTATGCTTAAGAATTGCAAAGGTTGGTTGCGGGTTTTTTTGTACACCCTGTAGATGCACCTTCTGCAACCTTTTATAGTTAATACACCCTCAGATGTATCATGGCTTCCCTTCCACATTCACTGGGAGATAGACAAATCCACCGAGACGGGACAGACAAGCTATTATTGAAGATTCTTCATGTAAGTTTTTTTTCTTGTTACAAATGTTTTTCTTTTTTGATAAGTTAGAAAAAAATCAATAAACGGCACATTAGCCAATCAGCATTAGGCCAAAAACAATTTTAACAAATAAACAAATATCCATGTTTTCTTTTGATTTGTGAGCTAGCTGTATAGTTTGATTAGATTTCTATTTTTGTTCTGAAATGTGACTGGTTGGTGTTCTAGATCTCTGAGTGGCCCCACCTACTGTGGACGCACTGTAAAGTGAAACTGTATTAACTTAATGAAAATTTGTCCATTTCTTTCCAGAACATGCAATGGATGTTAAAATACAGCAACATGACCCGTCCTGTTTTAATACAAAGAAGAAATTTAATTGTAAAAGCCATAAAATTCGAGCTGGACAGCAAAGAGCAGATATGGAAGAAACAAAGCAATGAATGGACCATTTGCATTATAGACTAAATTTTGATCTAGACAAAAATTTCATCACAACTTGAAAGAGCATCACAAAATTAGTAATATTCCAAAGTTTCGTTGCGAAATGTTGTAAAATACGGATAATATATTGCCGTTTTTCAGTCATTTTGTATTAGGCACGGGAAATTGACAGCTCAATCGGGTATCGGGGCATCAATTTCCCGTTTGTAATACAAAATGACTGAAAATTGCAAATTTCGCAAGGCTATATTATCCGCATATTACAACATTTTGCAACGAAACTTTGGAATATTACTAATGTTGTGATGCTCTTTCAAGATGTGATGAAATTTTTGTCTAGATCAAAACTCAGTTTAGTCTATAATGCAAATGGTCCTTTGAATAAGAAAGATTAGTTGCCATACATTGTAATTCTATAACGTACTGTATATATGATATGGTTAACAAACAGCTGATTATATTATTTAGTATTACTTGTTCATTTATTTAATATAGGCCTATAGTTTATTATTATGCAAACAGCTTATTATATTTTTTATATTAATAAAATAATGTTTTCAGATGAACAAATTTCATGTGTGGGGTGGTGATGTGCTGCATGCATGGTACACTGAAGTATTTGTTTCAGAAACTATAGTTTTCCATCTAAAATAGTATAGTTTTTTTCAACTAAGTTTTTAATCAAAACTAAAGTTTTTAATCAAAACTAAAGTTTTTAGTCAAAACTGAAGTTTTTTGCCAAAACTATAGTTCCTACAATTACTATAGATTTTATAATTATTATAGTTTTTGTTCCAAAATACTATAGTTTTTAAAACTATAGTTCTTGGCTTGAAAAACTATAGTTTATTTTTGTAAGGGACACCCAAAATAAAATGGCAACATGGACACATTTCTGCTATATATTAGACAAAGGCAAAGCCCCACCGATGTCATTGAGCTATTTCTTTAATACAATATATAAATATATAGACATAGTAAAGATTCACTCCCAAGTTGAATTAACAAAATATTAAACTCAATATAACATTGAAGATGTTTCATAACGCAAAATTTATCTACAAAAGAAGCGAAGAATGCTGTAATTGAATTTCAGGGACAGCCACTCTAATCACTCGCTAACCCAACCAAACATAAACTTTTCACCAAGTTTTGGGACGCCTCTATTGGCACGACTGTAAAAAGGAATTTTAAGAGTAATATTATTTCAAAAGCAGTTTGTTTACCTGACAGTGTGTCAAACTACCTACTTTTGCAAGACCTTTCGCGAAATCTCGTAAAGGATGTTCCGTATCAGGCTGAAGCTAAGTAAAGAAAACTTTCATACAACAATTATGTTCAGTATAAAAAAGAAAGGTCATGCAGATCAATGAAAGTGTTCGCGATCAGTTTAGAAAAAAGTAATAGAGTGACGTAGTAATTAAAAAGGCCAACCCAGTGAACTCAGAAGTTAATTCACTGGCTTATTTCTTAATTGGCAAACTTGATGTCATTAATAGTCTATAAGGGTTTTGCTAATGAATATATATTATGCATAGTTTTATTCGGCATGCAGTCAAGGGCTTTTCTCCATTAGACGCTTATTAAGCAGGTGCTTCTTGTGTCGGATAGATTTTACAGCAGCGTCTTGTGCTCGTTTCAGTTCCGTATACACTCCATTAAGAATTGTTTTCAATGCATTGTACTGTTTCACAAGCGTATCCTTTTCATACGCGGTTTTCGCTTTGGAAAATTTCTCTCGGCACTGTTCCACTTTTTTGTCTATCTTCAACAAATTCTTGTGTGCTAAATCCATTCTATCCAAGTTTTTTGGAATGGTATTTTTCTTTTGCTTGCCCAATTTTCTTGTAGTTGTTGTGCTGTCTTCATATGGAAATAAATCTGTTTCGTCAGAATCAAGCTTTCTTGCGTCGTCTTCGATAAAACTAGTTTTTCGCAGAGTCCATGCAACATCTATTATTCCATTAAATGCACTTTTTGAGAGTTTTGCTGTTGAAGGATGAGTACTAAGTTGCTCTGCTTTCTCATTCCAAAAACGCTTCCTTATCCTTTCCAGTTCCGCTTTAGATTTCTTAATCTCTTCCTCTTTGAAAATCTTAATGCCTTTCATCTTGGCATGCCGAAATTGGTCATCCATAAGTTTTCTGGTGACGGTTGGTTCATCGTCTTTATGGCCTTCTATTAAAACAACAAATGATTTTGTTAATCGCCATTTACTGAAAGTGGCCCAGGACGTCCCTGAAAATTCTTTTACTGTATGGAACAGGCTTTATAGTAGTAGTGGCAATCTAACTTGAGGTAAGCGAAAGATAAATAAAAATTATAGATACGATTTTTAACTTAATTTAATTCTCGCCATCAGTGAGTGACCATCTTTCCTCTGATGTATTTAAATGTCGCTTGTCCCAAGGGATCTTACAGCAAATGGACCATTTGCATTATAGACTAAATTTTGATCTAGACAAAAATTTCATCACAGCTTGAAAGAGCCTCACAAAATTAGTAATATTCCAAAGTTTCGTTGCGAAATGTTGTAAAAATGCGAATAATATAGCCTTGCGAAATTTGCAATTTTCAGTCATTTTGTATTACAAACGGGAAATTGATGCCTCAACACCCGATTGGACAACCTCGCAAACAAGGGCCTCCACACCCGCGGCGGGACGGAGACCCTTGTAAAAGCTGGTCACGTGACCTCCCAGATTCTGGGAGGTAAATCAAATTATACTGAGAGAGGGGTGGTTGAGGAGCGGGTTTGTAAATTTCTCATATTTGGGGAATATGAGAAATTTACAGACCCGCTCCTCAACCACCCCTCTCTCAGTATAATTTGATTTACCTTCCAGAATCTGGGAGGTCACGTGACCAGCCTTTACAAGGGTCTCTGTCCCGCCGCGGGTGTGGAGGCCCTTGCTTGCGAGGTTGCCGATTGGACTGTCAATTTCCCGTGCGTAATACAAAATGACTGAAAAACGGCAAACTTCACAAGGCTATATTATCCGCATTTTAAACATTTCGCAACGAAACTTTGGAGTATTACTAATTTTGTGATGCTCTTTCAAGCTGCATGTGATGAAATTTTTGTCTAGATCAAAATTTAGTCTATAATGCAAATGGTCCATTGGTAAGTTTCTTTGACAAAGACTGGTGCATTCTGGTATGGACTCGCCAAATGAGCACGTTGAGTTACAACGAACATATTTACTACCTTTAAAATCCCTTGCGACAAGCGGTAGTATACTGAATTAAATACGCCCATGCATACAGCTGATGTAATATAACTACGTTTTATACTCTGATACTCTGAAGAAGGACGTCGCAGGTAGCAACTGCCAACTGTTAGAATTTTTTTATTTCATGAGGCCCGTTTACCCGGGCGATTTTTGCTGCGATTTTAGTTGCGATTTTCTCCTTTTGGAAGATGTGAATGAGTGGATGAGTTATAAATGTTCCAGGTTATGAATTCACATGACAACATTATTAAGTAATCTACTCCTTCACATCTTCCAAAAGGAGAAAATCGCAACTAAAATCGCAGCAAAAATCGCCCGTGTTTTAAAATTTATGATCATTTATACACCGATTAAATTGTTGTTATTTGAATAAAAATCCAAGTTACCGGTTGTCAAAAACATGACATTTTAAGGTTTGCCGATCCACGACACGAAAACAAAGTTCGAGTTAACGGGATAAATTTGACCAGGGGAAAACAAATTTTGTTCTAATTAGCGAGGAGTTCGAGGAGTTCCAGTTAAGCGAGTTCGAGTTAGCAGGAGACTACTGTATATATAATTACTAATATATATAATTACCAAACGTTTTTTTCTTTTTGAAATCACTGTCCAGAAGCTCTTCCATCAGTGTTCGCTTCTTACCACGTTCAATTTCTCCTTCGTTCATTTTTTTTTCTTCGTGCCTTTGTTCTTTCTGATTATCTTCCACAATGATGCTTTCCTTGTGTAATTGGTTGCTTGTTTCTCCAAAATCTTCCAAACCCTCGGTCAACTCGACATCCTCGCTTAATCTGTTTTCCTCCGCAGTCACTTCTTCACTTGATACAATACCACCATCGCCTGTCCAACTATCAATTTTCGTTGGACCTTCCATATTCCCAATCGGTCTGCTACAGCCCTCGTCTTCCGACCAGACTGGTTTCCATTCCTTCCCTATTATGAAAACACTGCCTTTCTCATATGTTGCCAAACAGTCAACATCGTCTATCTCAGTCCCGTCACTTTTGTCAAATACTTGGCATTCAGCTGGATCAGTAAGTTCGAGTTTCACTCTTCCTGCCATTAAAGATTCGAAGAAGGTTTATTAAGTAAAAATATTTAAGCAAGATAAATAATGGTAGCAATCTTATGCGTTACTTAAGGTCGCTATATACACTAAACAGGTTTTTGAACATTGCTTTCCAAACATGTTTCACACGCTTGTTTCAGGAACTTGTTTCAGTTTATGCCACTTTTTATGTTAACAATTAGAACATTTCCGTAAGGGTTTGATCATGTAAACAAGAAAGAAAATGTATAACACTTATGTCTTTTATAGTATAATCAAAACCTAACAAATCGAAAAGTGCCATTGGCATTGTCCATTGATCAGTCTTGTTAATACCATGTGGATGTTCTTATATACGCTTTGGTTGCATCACTAGTAGCCTACGTAAAAACAGTCACATATATTTTAAAAAGTGGAATAACGAATCAAATTTTGCTTTTGCAATCCCAAAAAGGTATGAAAATTATTCAAATGTTTAAGGTTTCCGTGTTTATAAAGTATTTTTTGAGAAAAGTAAAAATTTTCCCGATAAAAAGCATAGTTTCTGCAGAAAACTGTTTTTTGAGATAGAAGATGCTGGGGAGGGGGTGTAGAAGCGAGCGCGGATAGCAAAAAACCTTGACGTTTCCTCCAACTTTATGGAAGAACCTCTGGCACCCAGGGTATCATCTCATTGGACGATTCTAAATGTAATTGACGTTTCAGCAAGAATACTGGCAAAGGATTGGATAACTTTGATCTCTGACGTCACTTTCCTGTGATATTGCTCGAAACCAAATACAGTACCGTTTCGTTCCTGCGGGGAACGAAACAAAAATGCGAAACCGTAACGCTAAACGTAAGAGTTTGAAAACGGAACGAAATTCTACCGCGAGAGTGCCGCGCGAGCGCCTAACCGTAAGAAGTTCATTACGGTTATGCAAAATGAAATTAACAAAACTGCAAAAGTTGTTTTAGACATCTTATTCTGTTTATTTTAACTGATTTGTGCAGCATATTGTCAAAGTGGAATATAATCTGCCGGTATCGTGTGAACAGTTGAAACCGTGATGATTTTCTACCGGCAGAATTCCATGCCGGTATCGTGCGAACTGGTCTTAAGAGTGTTTTATCAGGTTTAAAGCCACTGCACGTGACATACAGCAATTTGCATCCAAGCACGAACCGCAAACATTTTCGCGCGTTTGTTTACATTTGAGACGGGGCGTTTACCGTTGGAAACTGAAATGTTTGACTGCTCATGTGACGTGTTACAGTGCAAAGCCTAATTCAGTTATTTTTCATGTTTTGATGTGCTTTTCGTGTACGTTTCAGTATTTTCAAGCTCACAATATTGTAAGAGCGACCAAACTTTGTTTATATTCATACTTTTTGTTTCGTTCCCCGCAGGAACGAAACGGTACTGTATTTGGTTTCGAGCAATTATCACAGGAAAGTGACGTCAGAGATCAAAGTTATCCAATCCTTTGCCAGTATTCTTGCTCAAACGTCAATTACATTTAGAATCGTCCAATGAGATGACCGCTCCTAGCATAAGAAGTTTTTTGGAGGCGTGGCGTATAATCGGAAATCTTAGTTAATTATATATCAACCTATGAGAACATGCTAACTTAACCTGAAGTTAAGGCCCTAATTTTTAATAGGGCCTGACACAAAACCTGTCTAGACCGTGGGACGCTCACATGTTATTTTTAGACACAGCATGCAATATGATTGACAAGTGTTATAGATTTCGTTACACAAAAAAATTATATTCTCATGAACATGTCCGCAGAGTGTGCATTTTGCTTTTTAATTAAACTTAAAAATTCAAGGTACTTTTATATAATTAAGAGTCAGTTTCTCTATTTAACCGAACAGCAAACGAAGATTCAATTAGTCAGTTCTTTCTAGTCAGTTCTGTGTACAGCTTGACTGCCAAGCTTTCTCAAGGCCTCAACTTGCTGGACGCGGATATATACTTTAACGGGCTAACAACAGCAACAATATAATTCTCAATCGTACCACGAAGAAGGCCATGTAGCTCAGAAAACAACGCCGGTAGGACCTGATATTAAAAATACGACTTTTGCCGGCGAAGCCAGTTGGCAGAACATCTTGGCTGTCGATAACAAACTTTCGAATAGATGACTAGTTTAGTTTGGCTGTTCTTTCAGCGTCGTGTGTCCAAAATTCGTCAAAGATTTTGATAAAGACCGTCAAAATACTATTTGTTTGATTTATTTTCTGCCATAAAGCATAAAAGAAAAGATATTCGAAGAAATCGATAATGGATTTGTTACGTGCGTTTGACCTTTATATTATTATTGTCCCCTTGAGCCCTTGACCGAGCTATTTTTAAAACTGTTGTTTATGTGAACTTGCAACCAATCAAAATCTTAGGGCCGAACTTCAGGTCAAAATCTACAGGCACGATGATTTATATTTGAAGTATTCGAGCGCCAACAGCGGTATATATATATATATATATATATATATATATATATATATATATATATATATATATATATATATATATATATATATATATATATATTTATTATATAGTTTTCTTTGTTTTTCTTCATTTTAAATACTACTACTGTATTTCTGGACCGCTCGGCCCCACCAGGTAATGAAAATTTATAGAACCCGCCCGCCTCACAAAATAAACCAATTTCATTGCTCGACATATACAAGTGATCTATGGTCACAACCGCTAATTATAGACGTCTGGTATTTCTATAATTATATTGGAACGAAACATTATTTCTTTTTTAAAGAAATATTTTCTTGTTGT